GTAATAGGTTCATAGCTAATATCCTATGGGGCCTGGGTGATGTCAGCAGAAAAGTTAAGTCATAGCATGAATACAAACATTTACAAAACATCATTAAAATCATTTGTTTCCAGTATTTTTTTCTTATCTTATTCTTATCGCTACTTATGATCAGCATGAACTTGCTCTCTAAGTGTCAGATGTCAACAAAAGGGCGGCTCACATTTGCTCATGCCTGCTGTCCGACCCCTAGCGCTTCCTTTGAACTGCACTCGTACTGATAAAAACACTTCTTCCCCTTGAGCTGTCCACAATCACACTACTAATGAGAGCTTTGCAAAGCAGCCATTTCTGAACTTGGCCCTTTCAAGGCCCTTGTTAACAGGCTTGGACAGTATTTCGCATATTACATCTGCCTCTTTCTTCTCCCGCCACCAAGTCGAGGCGGTCTGCGCTATAAGGAGATGGTAAATCTGAACTGCATTTGGCTCTGGCAGCATGCATGTTGAATAAACGAGATGAAGGGAGGTCCCGACCACAGCATCCCTCTCCAACCGGAGCGATAATTCAAGGCAAATGTCTTTCCTGGCAATTCGCAGGCGTCATTTGGACGACACTCCATCAACTCTACAATTCGACTCTTAGCACTGAAAGCCCAGGGTGAGAGAGCAGGAGAGCGGGGCGACTCCTGGCCATTAATAAATACTCTCCAAACGCGGGAAGCCCCATTAGGCTGTCATGTCTGTTATCACAAAAGCAGATGCTCTGTGGGAGATGTTTGTGCAGGGGCGGATTCTGACAGGTCTTCTGTCTCCATGCGGTAAATAAGACGTGGAGCGTCAAAACAATAAGCTTTCTGAGAACAATTGAGAACTGAGGGACTTTCACATAGACGAACTAGTGTGACAGACATTGTTACGGATGGAAAAGACGACAGTGGCTTTTTATTTGTCCAAACATTTTTGGCATTTCATGTCTGAAGAGCCATATTTCCCATTATAACAATTTTGTTATGTTGCAGCCTTATGCTAAAACGCTTTATTTTATGCATTTGATTTTAGTGGCATTCTTGGCAATGTCTGATTAGCCACATTTCCCCCAATAAAAGTTGTGTAATTTTCTCCAAAACCAATAAAAAAACTATGCGAGATTTAAAATAATAATAACAATAGTAATAAATAGAGTGCATTCAGAAATTTGCATTCATTTTTTTCACATTTTGTTTTGTTGCAGCCTTGCTGAAATGCTTCAAAATATTTTTATATAGATTTGATTGTAGTGACATTTTTTGCATTTAATGTCTGAAGACCCACATTTTCCATAATAAACGTTGTGTAATACCCTCCAAAAACAAGAAAAAAAAATATGTAAGATTTAAAATGATAATAATAGTAATCACAGAATATTTTATTTTATTGACATTTTTGTTTACTGTTCTGGTTCTGTGTTGCCACTGTAAAAATCTGTATCCTGAGGCAAAAGCAGCTGAGAACGAGTGATTTGGATTGTGTGAGAGCTTTATTCGTGAGGGCTATGAGAATGAGTCTCAGGATCATAACCATGCGGTGAAAACTGCTAAGAGAAAACTAAACTACGCTAAAGCGGAGAGCAGAGAGATTTGGAGAGCACAGCGTCAAGGCCAACAGAGAGGATATCAAACTGCTGTGTGATTGACAGGATGAAGCTTCCTGTGTGACAGAAACCAGAGCAGCCAGATCAAAGCCCGTCAGCCCATGTGGACCCCTGTAGAATACACTACGCTAAAAGTAAGATATTAACATGTGAGTGTGCATGTGTTTGTATGAGGGACACTCAAGTTCCAGGAAACTAAAAGTAGATGGAAGAGACACAAAACGCAAGCTTTCATTTGTTTTGTAGCACATAAACTTATGTGTGCAACAATTAACTGTCACCTGTTCACTGTCATGACATTCCCAACTGTTATGGTGCCATATCATTTTCATATTTAAATTTTCATTTGACAATATACAGTGGAAATAAAAACCTACCATCTTGTCAGGTTTCATGGCCTAATACGGTTTGGTCTGCATGCTCAGTTTTACGGCGGAATAATAATAACAAGAGATAAATATTTTATGAGCTATACAAGGCATATTTGTTAATGAAAACAATGAAGGGAACAGAATTACAACGGGATTAAAACAGGCTTCTTACGTAATTTCATGAAATTCCGGTTAAAGCCCCGTCCACTTCCCGATTGATTTAAATACAGATACAAATAATTGTGTGATTGTTACAGATATGAAGATATTGGCACATTATGTACACACTTATGCAGTTAGGTTGTTTTAAGTTTTTGAAAAAATATTTTCTCTCTTTAATGTGACACTTTGGTTTTAGGTTGCATAGGTTGTAATTAAATGTTCAAAAGTTCTGATATGATTTATCTTCATCACAAAAAACAGCTCTTTATTTAATAAAATGCATACATTTACAATTTGCATACAAAATTTACATTTGGAAATGACACAAGGGAGAGTAATTTTAATTTTTCATGTAACACATTTTCTTTGAAGAACTAATTTAAGTGACTGAGATGAAATTTCTAGAAAACAGATTTTTATGGGATTTTAAGGAACGTGCTAAAGGGCAGTGCTGTGTAGTAACTGATTAACATAATTCGATTCCAAAAGTACTTGAAATTAGATTCTATTATGTTTTTAAAATACTTGTAATCAGACTACAGTTACTTATTTTGTTGCACATTATTCTCACAATGGCAGTAAATTATTCATAATTCATTTATTCCACCTACTACTTCTTTTTTATCTTTTAAATTTTCCTTTCTAAAAACTAAGCCTACTGCTTATATACAGGTCCTTCTCAAAAAATTTGCATATTGTGATAAAGTTCATTATTTTCCATAATGTAATGATAAAAATTAAACTTTCATATATTTTAGATTCATTGCACACCAACTGAAATATTTCAGGTCTTTTACTGTTTTAATACTGATGATTTTGGCATACAGCTCATGAAAACCCAAAATTCCTGTCTCAAAAAATTTGCATATTTCATCGGACCAATAAAAGAAATGGAAGCTTTAGCTTAAGTTCTGTCAGGAAGACTCAATCAGCGCGCCATGTATTACCTCATCCCTATCCAATCAGGTGTTAACAGTCACAGTATATAAGATTGGTACTTACACTTGTCTGAGTTCGCAGATGCTGACGCTGCCATTCACCTCCATCCTCCCCATCACCACCACCAGGATGGTCCCTTCCTTACCTCCAGGGGGTCGGCTGCGCCCCCACCTTCATCTCAGGCGGGACATGCAGATTCGGCTAACCTCGCTTTGCTCGCTAAGGACGGGGCCTACGCCAAAGAACTCATAAATTTATGCTTGCTGAGCTGTCAATAAATGTATATAGCCATTCAATTTATCTCCCGAGTCTTTCTGGTAGAAGTGTTTTTAATACAAAAAAAAAGTCAACCTTCAAATAATTATGTTCAGTTATGCACTCAATAGTCAATACTTGGTCGGGAATCCTTTTGCAGAAATGACTGCTTCAATGCGGCGTGGCATGGAGGCAATCAGCCTGTGGCACTGCTGAGGTGTTATGGAGGCCCAGGATGCTTCGATAGCGGCCTTAAGCTCATCCAGAGTGTTGGGTCTTGCGTCTCTCAACTTTCTCTTCACAATATCCCACAGATTCTCTATGGGGTTCAGGTCAGGAGAGTTGGCAGGCCAATTGAGCACAGTAATACCATGGTCAGTAAACCATTTACCAGTGGTTTTGGCACTGTGAGCAGGTGCCAGGTCGTGCTGAAAAATGAAATCTTTATCTTCATAAAGCTTTTCAGCAGATGGAAGCATGAAGTGCTCCAAAATCTCCTGATAGCTAGCTGCATTGACCCTGCCCTTGATAAAACACAGTGCACCAACACCAGCAGCTGACATGGCACCCCAGACCATCACTGACTGTGGGTACTTGACACTGGACTTCAGGCATTTTGGCATTTCCTTCTCCCCAGTCTTCCTCCAGACTCTGGCACCTTGATTTCCGAATGACATGCAAAACTGAGCAACAGTCTAGTGCTGCTTCTCTGTAGCCCAGGTCAGGCGCTTCTGCCGCTGTTTCTGGTTCAAAAGTGGCTTGACCTGGGGAATGCGGCACCTGTAGCCCATTTCCTGCACACGCCTGTGCACGGTGGCTCTGGATGTTTCTACTCCAGACTCAGTCCACTGCTTCCGCAGGTCCCCCAAGGTCTGGAATCGGTCCTTCTCCACAATCTTCCTCAGGGTCCGGTCACCTCTTCTCGTTGTGCAGCGTTTTTTGCCACACTTTTTCCTTCCCACAGACTTCCCACTGAGGTGCCTTGATACAGCACTCTGGGAACAGCCTATTTGTTCAGAAATTTCTTTCTGTCTTACCCTCTTGCTTGAGGGTGTCAATGATGGCCTTCTGGACAGCAGTCAGGTCGGCAGTCTTACCCATGATTGCGGTTTTGAGTAATGAAACAGGCTGGGAGTTTTTAAAAGCCTCAGGAATCTTTTGCAGGTGTTTAGAGTTAATTAGTTGATTCAGATGATTAGGTTAATAGCTCGTTTAGAGACCCTTTTCATGATATGCTAATTTTTTGAGACAGGAATTTTGGGTTTTCATGAGCTGTATGCCAAAATCATCAGTATTAAAACAATAAAAGACCTGAAATATTTCAGTTGGTGTGCAATGAATCTAAAATATATAAAAGTTTAATTTTTATCATTACATTATGGAAAATAATGAACTTTATCACAATATGCTAATTTTTTGAGAAGGACCTGTACGTTCAGAAGGTCTTTCAGGATTGTTGAATTGCACACAGAGACCAGCCACTAGTCATGTGAATATCACTGAAAACTGAGAGCCACACAGCATTTGATCACTGCATTCGTTGTTTTCTCAACATTGCACATCTAATCAACTCCTAATTCACACATAAAAAAAAAAAAAAATTATCACGGTATTATTTTACCTTGTTTCACTGTCTTTGAAAGGCTTTTGTTTTCCAAACCCGTTAAAGCATGGGTCACCAAACTAAGGCCCGCGGGCCGAATCAGGCCCGCCACCCCCCTTTGACTGGCCCCCCAACCCCTCTGCCCCCCACTACTTGAACCGGCAATCCCCAAAAGTCGTCATGGTCTATTTTTTTTTAATTGCTTTTTGGAAAATAATAACATGTCTGCATCTGGTATTTTGTTGATTTTTTTCAGTTAAAAATTTATATTTAGTTATAAAATGAACTATATTTGCCGAATTTTCGTAACCCGACATGCTCGAGACAAAGCAGTGACGCGCAGAGAACTACTCGGTTACTATGGTAACCTCAGTTACCATCGTAACATCAGTTACCTCAGAACTGTCACTGTCAGACAGCAAAATGGCTAGCGATAAAAGAAAAGTTGATAGGGAGTGTAGAGTTTTTAAAGAACAGTGGACAAATGATTATTTTTTTGTTCAGTGTAAGGACCGTGCGGTGTGTATTATATGTAAAGAAAGTGTGGCGGTTTTCAAGGAATATAATTTGCGTCGTCACCACGAAACCTGTCACAGAGAGTATGCTAGCTTGCGAGGGCAAGCAAGAGAAGACAGGATTCGGAGGATGAAAGGCGGACTGGCTGCACAACAAAATCTGTTCCTTCGCCAAACTCATGTCAACCTGGCTGCTGTCCGAGCTAGCTATAAGGTAGCTCACCTACTAGCTACCCACGGAAAGCCGTTTACTGATGGGGACTTTGTTAAAGAATGCATGCTTGCTGTGACCGAGGAGGTGTGTCCCGACAAGAAGGATGCGCTTAACACGGTGAGTCTCTCCGCAACTACTATGACCAGGCGAATCGAAGATTTGGGGGACAATGTGTATGACCAGCTGATTAAGAAAGCGTCAGAATTCGAGTTTTTTGCTTTGGCCGTGGATGAGAGCAATGACGTGCAGGACACAGCACAACTGCTCATTTTTATTCGTGGAGTTAGCGCAAGCTTTGAAGTATCTGAGGAGCTGGCAGCTCTAAAAAGTCTCAAAGGTACTACGACAGGAGAGGATATTTTTGTCCAAGTGTGCGAAACAATGGAAGAGTTGGATCTACACTGGTCTAAATTGGCCAGCATCACTACGGATGGCGCACCTAGTATGGTTGGCACAACGAGGGGGCTAGTAGGGCGCTTGAACAGCGAATTCGAGGAACGAGGTCTCACCCCCCCACTACAAGTCCACTGTCTGATTCACCAGCAAGCACTATGCTGCAAAGTTCTTAAGTGGGCGTCTGTCATGAAGGTGGTTGTGCACTGTGTCAACTACATCCGAAAACATGGGCTGAAACACAGACAATTCCAGGCCTTTCTCTCCGAGCTTGAGTCAGCCTACGAGGATGTACTGTACTACACAGAAGTCCAATGGTTAAGCCGAGGCAGAGTGTTGCGCCGTTTCTATGACCTGCTACCCGAAATCAACACCTTCCTGCAGTCTAAAGGTGAAACGGTACGAGAGCTGACCGAGCCAGAATGGAAATGGGACCTCGCGTTTTTAACTGATGTGACTGAAATATTGAACCACCTTAACGTGCAGCTCCAAGGAAAAGGGAAGCTAATCAGTGACATGTATTCCCACATCAAAGCGTTCGAGGTCAAACTAGTGCTGCTTGTGCGACAGGTCCAAAAGCTGGACTTCACGCATCTCCCTGCCACCCAAAGCTACTGCGCTGAGAAACCAGCTGTCCCGTTCCCAGTCGAAAAGTGCAAGGATGCACTGGAAATGCTGCAGGGAGAGTTCAGTGCGCGGTTCCGTGAGCTTCATGTCAATGGTAAAGGAATACGCTTGTTCCAGAACCCCTTTACTGCCGACATAAATGATGCGCTTCCCTCTCTTCAGTTTGAACTAGCCGAGTTGCAGAATTGTGATATCCTTAAAGACGCGTTCAAGTCTGACAGTCTCGTTGAGTTCTATGCTGTGCTCCCAGAGGAAACCTACCCAAACATCAAACAGCATGCAATGAGGATGTCCACAGTTTTTGGCAGCACCTACATCTGTGAGCAAACCTTTTCCCGCATGAAGCAAAACAAGAATCCAACAAGGAACAGACTCACAGATAAGCACTTGCATCAGACCTTGAGACTGGCTACCACTAGACTGCAACCAGACATTGAACTTCTCACCAGCCAGAAGCAAGCACACAGTTCACACTGATATGGTAAGCACACTGATTTTACAATTACTGATTTTAATTGCTATAAATATGAAATATGAAGGCTTTTAATTTTAATTTTTTATTTAATTTTAATTTTTAATCTTTTAATTTGCTACATATTTTGTAAAATTATGTCACAGAGAAAAGCAGACAGCAGCACATCTCGCCATTTACTGAATATGGTGCTTCTTGTGTTCAATCTGTCATCCCTCCATGCCAGGGCTCCAGAAGGCACCCTGAAGTGAGGAGAGGAGATTGCTGTTGCTGACCCTATCCCAAAGACAGCACAATTCATCAACAAGTACAAATCCAGCTCACCTACTGATTTTGATTTCCATTATTGTGTATTACTGTTGTGATTTAGTTTCGAGCCTACTGCTCATTTCATTTTCACCTTGACCTAAAAAATATTTACTGAGCATGCTCACCTGGATTTCATAAGAGCTGACTAGTTCTATTACTCATGTTATTATAATTTAAATGTTTTTTTAATTTATTTATTTATTTTATAGGCCTATTTATTTGACCTTTATTAAGTGCTGCACACAATTATTATTAATATTATTATTAATTTCAACAGGCCTACCTATAATTTATAATTTTTCACTCACCTTTGCCAGTGTCAATCACCTCAACTAGGCAGATGTTTCTTACCTTGACAGCTTTGATGTTATTTGTATTCGAAAATAAATAAATGGAATATCGGTGGTATTTCAAATTAAAACAAAGTGTGAAGACTCGATTACTACTTTTGCAAACAACTAGTAAAGATAAACAAATATGGCTGTGCCAGGCTAGTAATCTCTACTACACAATGAGGCCTGCTGGTGGTCAGTTTGGTCTTGGGCATACAATTCTATGTTATATAGCTGACCCGGCCCCCCCATCACAGTCAGGAACGATAATGTGGCCCCCAGAGAAAAAAGTTTGGTGACCCCTGCGTTAAAGGGTACAAATTCACGTTGTTTCATATTTACATGCAATGCAGGGATTCCCAACTTTTTCGTCACGTGAACCTCTTTGACCTAATATATTTACTTGAGATTTTAATTATAATAATAATGTTCACGGTTCTCTGATGTCGGTTAATTGTCACATGACATACAGGTAATTTTTTTCTTTCTATTAAGCGTTTTTAATACGTTTTTTTATTTTTAAATTATTTAGCTTAATTTTACATTTTTATCATTTAATTAATAGCTTTTCATTAAACTCACAAACCCCCTGCAGTTCCATCACGAACCCCAGTCTGGGGAAACCCTGACGTAATGTATTATGTACTTCATGTTGTTGATAACAAAGAATGGAATATATTTTGTTTCTCTTTGTATTTTTATATCAATATGGTACAAGATTATCCAATTCAAATCAATGTGAAGGTTAAAAATAATCAAAAAGTAGTCAGATTATATTACCCTAAATGTGTAAATGTAATGGATTACGTTACTAACTACAATTTTTATCATGTAATTTGGAATCAGCGAACGACTACAATTAGTAAGCAATCTACTTAGCACTGCTAAAGGCCTGGTGGTTAGTGGATTATGTTAGATATCAAAATCTTCCATCATTTCCTGTCCTCTCCACAATCCAGCCAATAAAAAGTGGCAAAAAGGACAAAATAGTGATGCTTGACTTACACTAAAAACATAAAGCAGCTTTTGCCTAAATTCAGCTGTATATACAGCTGAATTTAAAGTTACCAGTGAATTTAAAGTTACTATTCTAACTTTGAATCACCATTGTGTATGAAATGTGCTATATAAATAAACTTGCCTTGCCTTGCCTATACATGTTTTAGAGTGTTTTGTCGTGTGTAAGTGAGCATCACCTCTGACCCAGTAGCTGTGATCGCGTCCCTGAGGGTGATATGAGGTTGATCTCCAGGTCTCCTCTGCGAGGGTGGACGATGAGGACTCGCACCACCACATGCTCCAGGAACACCACATGCTGATCGGCCTGTTCGCTGCAGCCTGTGGTCGAGATGCTGGCGTTTAGTTTCTGATCTGTTCGAATGTACCTGCAAGAGGACCCAAGGGAGTCAGTGGAGAACAGGTCACAATCTAAAACACAGATCCGCATTTATCATGAGTGAAAATACGAAATGAAGATAAAAAAAAATGTCAGGTTATATTTGACAATATAGTATAAATGATTACTGATTTTTAAAAGATCCTTCAAAGCTTTTAGAAACCTGATATTAACTAAAAGTGGATAGAAGAAATCCGAAAAGAAGTTAATCACAGAGAAATGGCGCATGGACATGTGCATGTATATATTTATTTAGTTATATAAATTTGCAGTCCGTAGCTTTTTTGGGGTTAAAAATTATCCAAAATACATATTTGAGAAAATACATAACCAGCCTATGTTTAAAACTACCTGCTTGCCTTAGCTCGATTCAAAGCGGTAAGCTTGTAATAATGTTTTTAATTCCAGTGGTACTGGTGGATTTCCGCGGGAGATTCGAGCATGTCTTTGCGTCATTACGTCACATCTGTACACATAAAGGAGGAGTCTCGGCTAGTAGGCTATATTGCGTGTGAGGATGTTGGAGGTGGAGATTTATAGCCTTTTCTCACAGCGCTTGATATGATTAAACTTATCAATTTGATGGCGGATCCAGAAAGGTTCAAACGACACTCACCAGTGACAACAGATTCACCCGTTGTAAAATGCAAAAGACTTCGTTCGGACTTCGGAGTAGCTACAGAAAAAAAGAGACTGCAACCGGACCCATGCGAAAGCAAGGATACATATCGGAAGGACATTACATGTAGTCACGCAATGCTTGCTTACGTTGTTAACATTAACAATTTGAGAACAAAGTATAATTTGCACGGTTTTGCGTGATATGATAACTTATAAGCGATTGTTAGATTTAATCAGTGCGATTTACTGCAATGTCAGAACCAGAACAAAAGTGGATGTTTCTTACTAGTTCAGAAGACATTTTCCGGTGAAAATTCTTATGTTGGTCATACTTCCAAAAAGAATAATCTGTGATTCTGAATGACAGTCTCCACACCGGCGCGGTGACTGACAGCCTCACACTCTCCTCAAACACTGTGTTCATCCGCGCTGTGCCGAGTCGAGGGTGTTGAAGTACAACTCACGTAAAGTTGATAATTCCGCGAATGACTGCAATTGCAGATTTCGAACAGACAAAGAGGAAAAACGCCGGACTGCAGCTTTAACTGTCAGGTTATATGACAGTCAATAGTAAGTAAACTGGGAAATTGATTGATTTTTAAAAAGGCTTTTAGAAACCTAATATCACCTATGTGAAGGACAGACGCTAATATTTTTTAAAAGGAGAGCGTAAATTAAAAAGTGGATGTTAATTTATTCCGTCAAAAAGGTCAAATAATACCATAAATATAGTCCTTACCACTAACATTTGCACCATATGAGTACACTTTCAATGTAGAAAAGGCATTCTCTCTGTCAGTAGTGTATTTCTTGTGTGACGTAAATGACGGCTGCTTTGTGTAACCACTTGTTTAAAAGAGAAAAACTTTTCCCGGCTGTCCTAAAGTATTACAGGGGTAAAGAGACTCACATTATGCAACGACAGAAACAAAATGCCTCTTAACGTGATTAATGGTTGAACTTAAGACCGAGCAGTGTGTTCTGAGGACAAGTGGCCTTCTGGGAAAGTCCTGCCTCCTTTGAGTCATTGTCAAAAACCACATGACTTTATTTACATCTTTTGCTTTAGCATTTACACTCTTCCTGTGAACAAAGTGTCACTGCTATAATGAAGTCATGTCAGGTCATAAACACTACCACAATATCATAATTATAGATTTTAAGAGTGAAGAGTGAATTTGCAAGTTTCGTGGTGCTTGTGAGTTGTGACTGCACTGTACTAATTTAGTTTTTGTGCATTTTGTGACTACTGGTTTATGAAGAGACAGGTTTGTATGACTAAACTAAATTTCCCATAATCCTTTGTGCAGCTAGAGCATCACACACCTAATGTGGATCGTTAAGCTGAAAAAAGCAATAGAGAAATTTTAAATTGCCTGACCTGATCAGTTTATTTCAAAATAAATCATTTAAATCACATAGTAAGCATCAGAGTATCTGTATTACACATTTCCTTCCCCTTAATAGTGTGAAAAAATAAGAATAAAAAACAAGAACACAAATTGTCATATTCACAATGCCGTTTCGTGGCTCATTAAGCTGCAGGATCATCTATTCGGTCAGTCCGGAAGCTCATTTTGTTTATTAAAGCCTTTTTTTTCTTGGGAGCAACACCGTTTCACCGGTTTATTATAGCAACTGTGGCGTTTTATGGTTCTGCTGATAAACAACACCGCACAGATGGCAACAAAATTAGTCACTTGAGGTCTGAGCCATTATTTAGCACAGGTTCAGAAGCAGTATCACCCAGAAATACTCTAGGTGGAGATTGCGCTATAGCCTCGTTTCAATCTTCTGAATGACATTCAAAGGAAAATGTGCTTAAAATGGAAGGCTGTGTCCCTTCAATTTACTGTAACATGACGGCTTGTGGTGGAATTTGAGGGGAACATCAAGTTTTCCCCCGAGCTGAAATCCATGTGTAGACCAGGCATTTCCCTGGGTTCAGATAAATCTTTAAATATACATATACATATATATATTAGTGCCGTCAAACGATTAAAATATTTAATCGCGATTAATCGCATTAATGTCATAATTTAACTCGCGATTAATCGCAATTAATCGCACATTTTTACCTATTCTAAATGTCTCTTGATTTCTTTTTGTCCCATTCTTTTTTCTAATTTTAATGCTCTTATCAACATGGAAAAGTGGATCGGCTTGCTTTGTGCATATGTTTTTTTTATTGAAAACAACATTGGCATACTGTGTTCAATTTCACACTAACATTCTCACTTGGAGCAAATAATCTATCACACAATGTAACACTGTCCATCAATAAAAGGGTGAAAGAAATACTGACGAGGTCCTGATATTGACGAGGGGGCGGAGAATTCGCATCAGCTGTGTGTGTGTGTGTGTGTGTGTGTGTGTGTGTGTGTGTGTGTGTGTGTGTGTGTGTGTGTGTGTGTGTGTGTGTGTGTGCTTGGCCATCAAGTGGTATTTCAGGCTGGACGTGCTGCTACGATAGCTCAGTTTACGACAACAAAACACACAGATCACTTTGGTCTTGTCAATGGAACCATTTGGCAACTTTTTAAAAGTAAACTTTCCATTCAGAATCCTATTGTCATCCATTTCGGCGTCTCGCTCTCGTCATCCACTAAAAACGTAACGTTAACCAACTATTTGGCCGGCTCGCAAGCCCAAACAAGTGTGTGCGGCGTGACTGTTGTTTTGTTTCCGGTCTAGCTGGATCCGCTTGCGCTTTGGTCGACAAAGCAACAAAACGTCCTCGCGCGGCACAAGCCATTGAAATGAATGGGTTTCATAGCGCAGCGCCGCGCATGCCACATCCTGTTGCAAAAGCATGTGAAAAAAAATACAAAGTTTGCTAGGCCAAAAAGACCGTTAATCGCACGATAAAAAAATTGACGCCGTTAAAATGGGTAAATGGGTCGTTAATATGGGTCGTTAATAACGCGTTTAACTGACAGCCCTAATATATATAGTGTTTGTGTGTGTGTGTGCAATTCTTTTTTGAATTTACCCTAAATGTATTTTAACCTTAGAAATTCAGTTTGTATAGTTTAAACATTTTTTTTTTAAT